TCTCTCTCTCTCTCTCTCTCTCTCTCTCTAATTGTTAGTAATAATGAATGACTGATTGAATAAACAAATGATGTGTTTTGTATGAAAACAGATGATCCCATGCCTTCAACGCAAAGCACAGGCGGTCGCAAAGAAACTGCCGAAAGGCACCGATTTGGCAGCCATTAGGAAACAAGTGGCCAATGAATACGAGAAGTGTATGCTTAAGGTTCTCTAAATAAAGTTCCTGGATATTCATTCAGACAATATATCATATTTGAAATACTCATTTGACTGATGTGAATGATTAATTGACTCTGTAGTATTCAATTACTTTTGGTTAAGAAAACTCAATACAAATGTAATTCTATATTTCAAGTGTTAAATAAAGAATTTTATAAATCAAGAGATATGTATGATATACTGTTTATGATTTAATGGTTTACAATACAATATTCACATAAAGATTTTGAATCTAAATAGAAATAAGCAATAGTTCATCATTTGCACACCATTCAATGGGAACGGGATCAGTACAAAAGCTAGATTACTATCTTGTATTTAAATTTTGAACGTAATGTTTAATTTAGTGAATCGAGTGTTTAATTTAGTTTGTCTATTTCATATTTTAGTCCACCATTACCTTATAATGTTGTGAGAAGAATTTAATAAAAACATCACCATTTCTACAACACTATTAATTGCTACATTAATTAAATTTATTTTAGGACAATTATAATTATGTAAACAGTATAATTAACAATATTTTGATGAGCATTCAAATTAATATCTATAAATTATATATTATTCATTAATTTTTAAGAACAATAATATTGTGAGTGATATTATCTGAAAAATATAATTAAACATAATTAATTAAACGTTTATTATTAACATTGTTGTTATCTAACAATAAGATTAATTAAGATATAAAACATACTTCATATCCACGGAATCTGTTTATAATAAATAGTTTCCAACAGTAGAATCCAATCCCTTTTCCACCAATTCTTTCGATTAAATTTAATAACTTTAATAAATTAAAAACAAAACATTTTATTATTAGTTTTTAATTAAGTTCAATTATGGTTAAGGGGAATAATATAAATACCTTAAGTTTTATATCATAAGATATTTTATTTGAATAAGAAATAGTAGAGTTTAACAAATTATATGTGTGTTTTGCCTCATTATAAAGTATCGATGAAATATGTATTATAAATAATAATAAAAGCAAATACATGGATGACATTAATATTGATATAATTGAAACAACAATAGAAATTTTGCCAAACAGTAATAGGTGTGCAAAATAACAAATAATAAAACCAAATGTTATCCAAACAGCGGCTAAATATTTGGACCAATAATTGCTATTATATTCACTAATTTCTAAATAAATTGCATTCAAGTCGTGAATTGTTTTCTTTAGAAAAATATTATTTCTTGCGTTTGAAATACATTTTAATCGGTCTTTGATTACATTATTAATTAATTTAATTTTAGATTTTAAATAATAGGTTATAATAAAATAGTAAACAGTTTGATAGACAGGAATAGTAACGACATGTTGGGCCCAGATACCATAAAATATTGCATGTGGGATACCAAACAATATTATAAAATAATAATTATTAGATAAAGCAAATGAATTGAATGAGTAGGCAAATCCTAGAAACAGCACAACATTTGTAAATAATTTAGCCAAAATAAATAATCTACGACAAATGTTTGATAGTTTATAAAGTAATAATCGGTCATTAATTTGAATATTTTTAGGCGGAATTGAGCCACAAATCACATGAAATACCCTCAAATACATGGGTTTTATACCTTTTATATAATTATAATAGTTTATAATTTGTGATGACATTGAAAAGATATTGAGTGCTATAACCAATATGTTTGAAGTATAATTAGTAAACAAATAGTAATCCAGATTACCCAGGACAACGTGAAATAGAGCAGACATTTCAATATTATTGAGATATATAAAAATAAAGACTAGAGATTTAATGCTCATAATGAGTGAAAGTATAAATACCAGGGTTGGATGGTTATACATACTTCTCTTATATTCATAGTATTGTGGGTTATATAAAGACAAACCTATTCTGTAGAGATGAATGTCGGCATAATTTACACGTAATTCAAGTGGTATGGGATGTTTACTATCAAAATTAGATGCCATTGTATAAGCTTAATAAATGTGCTTATTATTGATCACTTCAACTATATCCCAAATAACACTATATTTATATTATATTAAATATGGAATCTCAGAATCTTTAATAAATTGCAATATCAATAATAACATTCATATCTAAAATAATCCCTTGCAATAATTTATATTAAGCCAATTGTACAATTTCTTAATTCCTAATAAAACACTATATTAATAATAAGAATAATTATTACTATATTTTTTCTCAATATGATGTGTAAATACTTTAATATTAAGACATATTAGTGCATATATGTAATATTAGTGCATATTAGTGCATATTAGTGCATATATGTAATATTAGTGCATATTAGTGCATATATGTACATATATGCATATATTAGGTCGTACAGTATTGTTGTTTCTGGCTAAAATTTGAATTTCTCTGGAATGGCTTAATATTTTTAAACGCGGTTTGTTTTATTGAATAGCCTAATAATGTGATGATTTTGGGCACAAAAAATAATATTAATAATAAGAATAATTATTACTATATTTTTTCTCAATATGATGTGTAAATACTTTAATATTAAGACATATTAGTGCATATATGTAATATTAGTGCATATTAGTGCATATTAGTGCATATATGCATATATCTTATATACCGTATTTGCGAGTACTTTAACCGATATAAACTTCAAGTAAGATAGTTTGGACCAATTAGAGAAACTAATGGACTATAAGTGTAATTGTTATACAGTACATCTGATCATTTGAATAATTTAATATATAATAAAACATAAAACAAAACATAAAACAAAACATAAAACATGATATGTTATATTATATGATAAATTTATAAAAATGTTATTAAAAATATTTTATATATTCATAGTTCGTAAAGACTTGTGACGAACATTATAATAATTTAATAGTTAATATTAGTAGCTATATATAATAACAATAATTAGTGGCTAATAAGAATATAATTTGTTTAATATAAATTCATTGATTGCAATATTTGAAAACTCAATCATAAGAAAAACATGGCATCAAGATTAAAATTATTTAACAAATAATTATAAGAATATCATATTACAGAAGATAGTTTATAATTCATAAAATATGATAATAAATTGTTAATTTATTTTACAATAGAATTACTATACAGTATATTGATGCATATCTTTATAATATATTATACCGAGTATACTACACTAGCTAGTAAGCTAGTAGAAATATTATAATAGGGACAAGTCTAAATTAATAAATTAAATAAACAAATTAACAACATTAAAAAATGACAATGCAACAGTAAATTGAAATTCATATACTAATAAAATTCAGCAAAATATTCCTTTATCAATATTACTAAAATAAATTCTTATACAAAAAATTTTAAAAACATCTCCCTTAACTTATGAATAAATTGAAAAACATATTCACCTAAAGTATTGTCTACTCTATTATGTGTGATTTTAAGAGAATAATTCTAAGAATAAAAGTATTCATGTCCTTAAGTATTGCATAGTGTTATATAGTATTAATGGGAAAGTGTGGACAAGTATTAAATGGGGAACTGAAAGGGAATTTCCCTAAACAATGATCTTGAAAATGACGTCAAAGTGTCTCTTATGCTTAACATGTAACAAGTTTTACTCAATTCAACGCTTATATCAGTAGTATTTTGATGTGAATATTCATACAAAACATACCAAACCTAATGCTCCTATGAAACCAAACCACAAATAACAAACAAAAAATAAAGTACTCTTGCACCAGTACTTCAAACTCAGTACTTTGTTTTCTATCAATCATACAATTAAGAGATAAAATATTATAATAATAGTATTTATTGTATAAAAATGTGAAGATAAAAAATATGATAAAAAATAGTATTTCATAGTAAATGTCCTAAGAGTTGGGCACAAATGCTACACTTGTTTCCCAGTAATAGATATTCTCATCAAATGATAATTATCTGAAACCGATATAAAAGGGATAAAACATTCACTCATTTCTGACATAAGACTTATAAGTGCTTAAGAGTTAAGTAATCATTTGAAAGCAAAAGTTTTCTCAAACAGTCGCTTATAATCAAACAAAATGTCAAAACTAATTGTGTTGGCACTGGTAGTGGTCAGTTGCGGTGTGGCCTACTCGCAGTTTGATTTACACGGCTATCCCCAGATGGAAAGGGTTGTCAAAACCATTTGCGCACCGGGAGGACTCACCCCTAAACGCAAGAAAATTGTGGACGACTGCAATAAATTGATCCCATCTTTTGTAAGTCATTGAAAAATACTTTTTGTTTGGCATTCAATGGGCTAATGAGTAAATCGCGTGTTTATTAATTCATTGATTTTTAATTATATATGAATATTTTTAAATTTAATGTTTGTTTGTCTCGACTCTCAGGCGAGATCTGGATTCAGTGGTTGTGTCCGCGAAGTCTTGAGAATCAGTAAATTGACAAAACCGGCCGTTTGTTACCGGGCAGGACCTGGTGGTGAAAAAGTATGCAACTTATAAGTTATAATATATATATCTCTTAAAGCCATATCTAATTTATTTGATGTCCATATGAATAGCTAACCCCATGCTTACAACGTAAAGCCAAACAGGGGGCTAAGAGATTGCCTCCTGGTATTGACATTAAAGCCATGAGAGAACAAGTGATCCAACAGTACCAGTCCTGTATGGTCAAGGTGCTCTAAGTATATAACTCATTCCGCACATTATTGGTACCCCAGACACACCGCATTATTATGGACATACAGTTTATGAACAAACACTTTATATAACTGACAACTTTGTTTCACTCATTGTGTTATGTGTTAACTAATTGTGATATTATTATTATTATACTTATAATGTTGTATTCAATCAATTGGATTAATAACAATAAAATTTTATATTTTTACTCTATTTTTGTTTTTTACAATATTTACAAATTGGTTAAACTAGAGCTAAAATGTTCATAAAAGAGTATCGTGCTTATTAACATATTATTTTAATTACAAATATAATTTGTGATGTCTAATTTAAAAAACATTATATTATAATGAATTGGATGCAGAAAATCATGCACTAAATACAATGCATATTTTTGTTGTTGATTTTGACTTAATTCTCTAATGATATGAATGACTTGACACTTATATTCAAGATCATAGGGGCAATATTATATTCAAAGGTTAATTGAATAGGAATTAAAAGTAAAAACAATTGAATATATTAAATACCTAGAATATCATAATAAAAATTCCAATTAAAGGGTTTATTATAGCTATAACTAATTGAGGTTAGGCCAGCATTATCATAACCCTCATAACAAAAACTAAATACTTTTACTCGTAATAAAACGAAATTAAGTCATTAGATTAAATAGTGATAAACAAAAAATTGTTTTAGTTTTACTTTTGAAAACTTTTTATATTAATTTGTGTTTCAATTTGTGAACATTTTGTATCGTTCAATAATTTTGTGTGAAAAAGTTAACTTAATCATGTTTAAATTAATTGTATATGTTGTGTTATTTGTATTGATTGACAGTGTTTGCAGTGAACAACTGAATAGTGATACAATGGATTTGTTGGTCAATATTAGTAAAATAGTTTGTGTGGACACCAATAGTATGGGTGCTTCAAAGGCCAGTATTATCAGGGAGTGCGAGTCTAATGTGCCGACACTGGTATGTAATACTTGTTGATACTGTATAATTTACCCTCAGTTTAGTGACCAATGTGATTAAAATGGTTAAAAAATAATTTATTTATTATTAATTGCAATAGTATTTTAAATTTCTATGTTATTGTTTTATTTTCTGTAATTAATTTCTATAATTACTTTTTTTTGTTAATAAAATGCTAGTATAAAACAGTGTACAGTAATTGTGTTAAGCAAACAATGAATGTGCGAGAGATGACACTTCCCTTCATATGCTATCGATATATGCCCGGAGGGGATAAGGTCTGTCACAAACAATTGTTTTAATCATTTGTTTAATGATAATAATTAACCAATTCTTAGGTAAAGGAATGTCTGGATAGGAGGCGAAGATTAGCCTCAATGTTGGGTATGAATGTGGACGCCATGCGGGCCAGGATTCTCAACAATTATGCCGTAAATATATTCACATTTCAACCAATAAAAAATAATTTGTATTAAAATTATTTAATATATTGTTTATAGATTTGTATGAAACGAATTTTCTGAATGAATTCCCCAATTAATTATCACAAGTATTATTCGTACGGAATATGTTATGATTATTATATGTTGTTAAGTGTTTAGATTCTCTATGCACAGAATTATGTTTCGATAAAGCATTTTATTTGTATAATCATTATTAATTGTTACCAACTTAACCCTATAAAATCATAAAATACTAAATTATTCACTTATGTAATCGTAACGAATGCACTCAAAATATGCAAAACAGATTTTCATTGTATTTATTCATAACAATTGAGTAAATAATTGTTTTCAAATATGGTAGAACATTCTGTCATTTAATTAATGCACTGAACGTATGGCTAAGACTAATGATTAAAAATGTACTTTTATTTAATGTAATCATAATTATGCGACCAAATCACTTTATAGATTCAAATGAATAAACATTAAAAATAATTGTTTATAAAGAATAATTCATTTATTGAATAGTATTTTCATATAAAAGAGGGAAAAACTTTTTAAACAAATTTATTACACTTTTATTTATTCTATTCAAAAGTTTCAAATACTTTTCTAAAAAAGTTTAAGAGTTTATCAAATTGACAAAAATGATGGATAACTTGGGATTATTTGCTATTATGTTATCACTGTTTGCCTGCATTTATGCCGAAACCCTAAATGAGGACGCGATGGAAATACTGGCAAAAGTGGGCACAACTCTATGTGACCCCAACCTACCCGCTGATAAGGCGGCGGTGGTTAAGCAATGTGATACCAAACTGTCAGCTATGGTATGTCCAATGGATTACTATAACCCCAACATAATACAATCTTATATATTTTATTAATTGTGGTTTTAATTTATGCAAAGTTTAAAATGTCGTTTAACTCATGTCTGATGCAAGCCTTAAACATCAAAGAGATGACAATTCCCTTTCCCTGCTATAGTCGCCAGGCAGGGGGCGATAAGGTATACCACAATTATTAGACAATTAAATGACTGCTAACTATAAATTTAAAACTAATTTAATAAATAGCTTATGGAGTGTTTGAATAAAAGGCGAGAAATGGCTGTCAAAATGGGTATCGATGCCGAAGCTATGAGGGCTAAGATGTTAAATCCATACACTGTAAGTGTTTTGTTATTTATTATATTTAATAACATTATAATTTGATTAATTTATTTGTATTTTAAACAGGCATGTATGAAAGCAATAGTTTAACACACATCCAAATTATAAAGCCTCCCAAAGAATATTTATATTTCTACAAATTGTGTTGTTTATATAATATAATAATAATTTTTAAATAAAAATTATTTCTGTAATAATATTTTTAAAATGCAATAAAAATGATGAATTTTGTGATATAATTTATAATTGTTTATTAATAAATTTCGAGAGAGAGAGAGAGAGAGAGAGAGAGAATACGAGTGAAGTCAATGAATTTTTATATTAAATTTCATAATCTAATAAATTATAAAATACGTAATATTTAAATAATAATATTCATAAATCATCTGACACATTAAATCCAAGTTATAATTAAAAACAAATTTAAAATACCTGTGCTTCCAATTCAATCATAATTTTTCAAATTAATGACAATTAGAATAAATTGATTGTAAATAATAAATTTAAATAATATTTTCTTATAACATACTGTATATAAAATGATGCATAAGAAAAGCATAAAACAACTTTCTATTATTTATGATAAAACATTTAGTTAATAAATAGAAATTAGCCTAGAGTTTGATTTTTAAAATGGCATTTATTCAGATTATAAAATTTATTTTAATTTGCAATTTATTTGTATCCATTTACCCTGTTGAATTAAACACCGATACAATGAATATCATTCAAAATGTAACCAATACTTATTGTGGTAATAATTTATCCCAAGATAAATCCACAGTTATATATAAATGTGATCGCAAAATATCTGGAGTGGTAATTGAATTGTAGAAATTCATATTAATAATTCAATAATTTATTTAAATATTTTGTGAAATATACTGTAGTTTCGTCTATCATTCATAGCATGTATACGACAAGTACTAAACATATCAACCATACCTAATCTGCCTTTATTTTGTTATGAAGTAATGCAACCAAATGGATATAAGGTATTAGTATAATATACATTGTAGTTCATTTTATACATGTTAAATTTTCAAACAATTAAAATAAACACATTTCATAAACAGATTGCAGAGTGTTTAGAGACGACAGCCCTAACTGCTAGAGCTAAAGGACTTGATTTGAAAACCATGAGTGCCACCAATTATAATAGATATGCCGTATGTTTGATTGACTTTATATTTTGTTTAAATTACACCTGTATTTTGAAGTATATTAAATTCAAATTTATTTTAATTTATAGATGTGTGTAAAGAAGGAGAGTCAATCTAATCTTGATCAAATATAAATTATTTGTACATTTTAAATATATTCTGATTATTGATGTATGTTTATTCATTTAATATTGTAAAATTAATTTCAAATAATGTAAAATATTCTTACTCTGGATTGTTACTCTAATTATTAGAGTCTAATATGAGAAAATTCATATTTTACAACTAATAAGATAAAATGTAATCAGGGACACATACTTGTTGAAGATCCTTACACATTTAACACACGGAAAAAATAATAAAATTATAAAAACTTGTGACAGGATACATAACGTTAAACTCTTTATAATCTAATGTATTTTATTGTGGAATAAATTTTAAAATATTTATTTAGACAATAATATGTATTAATCGTATGACACGTCAAATTTAAATTACAATTAAATCTCAATAGGAATTGCTTTATTCAATAATAATTATATATTAAACTTATATTTTAATGGCAATTATAAATCAATTAAATTATTACAAATTTATACAAAGAATATTTTTTCATTTAAAAGTACAAAACTCGATGTATAACAAATTAGACCTAACACTCTATATTGTATAAGCATTTAAAACCCCAAAATGAAAATATCTCACATCATAAAAGTTGTTTTAATTTTAAAACTATTTGCACACATTCATACAATTGAGTTATACAGTGATACAATTGAAATCATACAAAATGTGACAAACATTTATTGTGATAATAATTTGTCCGCAAATAAATCCACAATTATTTATAAATGTGATCATAAAATTTCTGGAATGGTAATTTTAGTTTTACTTTTTTTAAAATAAATAAATTATACTTAAGAAATGAATTTTTATGCTATCTATTTATAATATAATACTTGTACTGTAAATAATAACAAGAATAATTGTTGAATTATAGGTTCGCTTAGCATTCATAGCGTGCATACGACAAGTACTAAACATATCAACCATACCTAACCTGCCTTTATTTTGTTATGAAAAGATGCCACCAAATGGATACAAGGTATTTTAAATATTAATCTATTAAATATATTTAATATTTTATTTCATGAACAGATTGCCGAGTGTTTAGAGACGACAGCCCTAACGGCTAGAGCTAAAGGACTTGATTTGAAATCTATGAGTGCCGCCAATTATAATAGATATGCCGTATGTTTGATTAAATTTATGTTTTGTTTAAATTATTTTAAATATAATTAATTAAATTAAACTTAATTTTTATTTATAGATGTGTGTAAAAAAGGAAAGTTCTTCATAAACTGATCCGGAACAAATATTAATTGCAATAATTAATATAATAAGATTTCTAATTTTTGTATCAAATTAATATAATTTTATTATTGATTTTTATATTTTATGTGTTTGATATTGCTATAAATATTTGATAAATTGCAAACAATTATTAAATTAATATAAAATTATGTATTTTATTGTTAATTGTTTGTATGGAAACAACACTATAGTACGGTATATTTAGGTATCCTAATAGTGACGTACACTTTATTGCACAGATAGGTATTCCTTAATAGGTTTTGTATTTAATAATATGTCATTTAAGATGACTTTGCATTCATTGTTATTTCAAGAGCAAAGTCAAAGTTATTACAAACATAATTTATAATTTAAATTACTTTTAATTTTTCTTTTTACTATGATAAAATACTCCTGAAAATTGTAAAACTACAATGTATATTTTTTAAAAATTATTTTAACTCTAAAATGTTAAAATGTGTTAATTATAGATGAACTTCTGTTAGATATATGTTTACTATATAATAACTTATAGAAAAATAAAAATTATAGTATTACTATAATAGCTATTATTTTATTATAATAAATATATAAAAATGCTGATCAATTTTCTTAAGACTCATGAAATAATGAGTAATAATTAAATTATTTATAAAATAATTAGATAGTTCTGTTAACATCAATAATAATGATAATGAAAATTTTACTTTCAATTTACTATATTTATTATCGCTATAAATATCTGAAATCATTTATTAACACAAAAGAAATTAATAAAATGAAAGTTAAGTTTGAAGTAACAAAAGATATCACATATAAACAGCGTTTCAAGCGATGGTCACTTTCTGGGTGTAATTCATTAATTCATTAATATCTGATTGAACAAAACGAAACTTATATTTGTTTTCAAATTAAGATTCTACTATTAAGTTATCTTTTTAAAAAAATTATTATAATATTCTTTTCGTTTTGTAACATCAGATGTAAATTTATTATTTTATTAATAAGTGTAGATATAATACACCACTTATTTAGTGAACGACTTTCAACAGCAACAACTGTCCGCATGGCTGCCACATCTAAACGCGGGAACGGTATTCCCGACATTTTTCTTAATGGCCTCGTGTATGATAACTCTGGGTGTCTGTCAGCTATACATCTCGGCTCAGGTCCAGGAGCTGCAGATTAAATACACACATTGCTATCCAATAACTGGCGGCAAATCATGTGCCCAGACATTGGAGGACAACCCGGACTCCGAGGGCTGTAAATGTGTCCTACCGTTCATGTTGGACGTGCCATTTGAGGCCAATGTCTACATATACTATGCGCTCAACAATTACTACCAAAGTCTACAGAATTACATATATTCCCAAAATGAGGCCCAATTGGACGGGTCGTTCACACCGACCTACCCGTGCAATAGTGAGACCCAATCCCTATATAACGCATTTGCGTCTAAAATAATAGACGGAAAAGAGGTGCCTATCGTCCCGTGCGGTGCCATCGGCAACAGTCTCTTCAACGACACCATCAGATTAGTACGTAGTGGACAGGGAGTGCCACTAATTTACACCGGTATCAGTTGGCCAACAGACCAGGTTAAGTTTAATAACCCGAAAGGTAATACTGTACAGTTTACAGTTTATATTTTTACTAGATTCTCTGGTAAAATGAGTTTTTATATAATTTTCACAATCAAAAGGCATACCACTGAACACCGCATACGAAAACTATACAAACCCTGTCTATTGGCGAAAAAATATTTGGGACCTGGATCCAAATAACTCGGATAATAATGGCATGAAAAACGAGGCACTGATAGTATGGTACCGAACGGCTGCCTTTCCTGAGTTCCGCAAATTTTACGCCAAAGTCGACCACAAGATTGGCACCACTTATGAGAAATCGCTACCAAAAGGATCTTATTTCTTAGAAATAGATTACAGTAAGTCTATAATCTATCCTAGGTGATCACTATTGAATTATAAATTTTTCATGTTAGATTACCCTGTTAGAATGTTTGGAGGCACTAAAAGTGTAGTGATTAGCAACACCTCATGGATCGGTGGCAAAAACTCATTCCTAGGCTTTGCTTATATAGTGTTTGGAGTCTTATTATTTATAATTACTTTTGTCTTATTGTTTATATACCTGAAGTACGGACTCAGGTACCTATTTTCAATCAAACATTATTATGAATACCGAAATTAATGTCTAATAACTGTTTCAGTCGACGGGAAAAGTTGGCGCTCACCATAAGTACACCATATTTCATGACAAATACATTCACCACAAAGAAAACATTAACGAAATTTTTTAGAAAATATAACTTTTTTAATAGAAAATAAAATTTTCCACAAAATTTTTTTAATTTATGATCTTATATTTAAATAATTTTGTAATTTATAACTTTAGTAAACTGTTATAGTGCCTTTACAGATAATCTGGCAATTAATATTCAATAAATAAAAATAATATAAAAGTACAAAAATAAAACTAAAATTACTGCATTATAAAATTATATATTAAAAGTTGTAATGGGTTGTATCATATTTTATTTATGATTGCACTAATGTACCTAATTTTGCACTTTTTACATTTTATAGATGAAAGTAATGAAAGTAATACCAGGAATGGCATCCTTGAGTACGTTAAACCAGAATATATTAAGCAATTATACAGTATTAAAGTAAATTTTCTTGATGTAAATGCTGTACTAAAAGTTCATTTTAGAACATTTTGTACTACGGTTTTCCATACATTGAATAATGTTTATAATGTTATCAGCAAAACAGGTACTTTCCCTTTAATAAACTTTTTCTAATTACATGACTGAATGGACAATTGAAAAGTTATTATTGAAAAACATTTTCAAACATATTTATATAAGAGAAGGACACGACATAACTCGATAACAATAATTATGAGCACTCTTTTAATTCAGTGAAAAATACTACTTTGTTTGAAAGCCTTTGTTAACTTAAGAAATAATTGTTTTTTAGTGAAACAATGTTTAAATTACCAAAGAAATTATATGCAATATTCATAACAACCGGAGTACTTTTGTTCATATTTGTATTCTTCAAGATATTAAGCCATACTTATGGTCAACATCTTAATGATGATACTATGGATATATTGGTTGGGGTATTGATAGCCGCTTGCGATACCAATAATACCTTACCTGAGGATCATCTCAAGATTGTTGACGAGTGTGAAAAAATTGTACCATCAATAGTAAGTTGCTATCATATACATGTACAGTATACAAAAATAATTATTTTAATGTAAAATGAATTACTAAATACAAGCACTAAATCTTATTTAAAATAATACATTTATTAGATTATCAGAATCTATTAAGTTGCTTGCTTAATATAATTTAAAAATAACATTTGTTATATTTTATTCCTGAAGTTTAGACTCATATATGACGGATGTGTTCGCGAATCCATGAATATTACAGAATTGACTCAACCATTCATTTGTTACCGTTTTCTTAAAGGCAGTGAACAGGTAATTGTTTTTGTTGTTTAATACTTAAAGCAATAATCTCGTATAATATACTAACAATAGCTCTATTAGTTGTTGAAATATAAAGTTGTAAAATGTTATAATATTTAAAGTTATAATATATTAAAATTATTAAACTATTATTAAGCTATTAAAATATTATTATACAGTTTTTATACATGTTGTTATAATTATAATCTCTATTTAATGTGACAATACTGTTAATAGCTGTTGTAATTGTTATAATTAAATTAAATAGGTATTTGTGACAAATATTGTATATAAATGTTTAATTATAATTCTTGATTTAAAACACTTTAGTTGACCGACTGTATGTTGAAATGGGAGTGGAGGGCATCATTCGTAGGTGTGGAGGTGCCACTCATTAGAGACAGGATACTTAACAAATATGCCGTAAGTTTTATTATATTGCTATTTAAATAAATCACATATCAATGAATTAATTTAATTATATATATACTGTATATGTTATACATTTTGTAGGTCTGTATGAAACCAATAGTACCGCCAGAAGAGGAAGACACGGAAGAATAGATGTAATCGATTCCTTTCAACACAATTGCTATGTCTGATTGTCGTAAATTAACCTGGTTAATACGATCAGAGCATTCAACTTGTTATAAATATGCCAAATATTTATTGTTATATACATTAACAATAATAATGAAGACTATTTTGTAAAGAATTTTATTATATGTATTAAAATTAATCTAAATTATTTTATTTATTATTTTAAATTTTACCATGATAATTACCAGAGAACATAAATAAAAGTATATTATTTTAATTAAAAGTTTATTAAATTATTAACTTCTTTACAATTTAATTACACTTTAAATATACTTTAAATACTTATTACTAGTTAATTAGAAAAATAGATTAAAAAGAATTTCTCAAATTATAAACAATATATTCTCGGTATTATGTTTAATGAAAAGCAATATTATAATTATTCAATGTTTACAAATAATCTCTACTGTATTGTTAAAATTACCTGTTAAGTTAATAAACCGATACATTAATTATAAAAATGCCCTGGAAGCTAATTTTTAAAATAGTACAAATACTGTTGTTCCCATTGTATTTAAGGTATAATTAAGTTCCCTTTTGTTATAATAAAAGTTCAATTTAATCATTTCTAATGAATACACTTTCAGCACTGCTTTTATATAAATAGACAAAAGTCTTGACAATAATTTCTACACTTAATTGAATGCAATGTTTCTTAACATCAAATGCTTGTAAAAGATGAACCGTTTATTCACAATATTTAGTTTATTTGCCTATTTCAGTGTATTTAGTAGTGTTTATGGCCAGGATGAGTTGCCTGATGAGATCAAAAACATGTTGATGGAAATTATGAGCACAATATGCGATACTAGTGCCGCGTTACCAGCTCCTAAAAAGCATGTTATTGACAATTGTGAATCAAATATACCTCTTGTGGTAAACATTTTAGGCGTTTGATTAAATAATTAAATATTAATTTAAATCTATTATTAGTTAAGATTTATTTATAACCGATGCATACGACAGTCAATGGATGTCGAAGAGATTGATCAGCCGTTTCCATGCTATCGAATTATGCCGGGAAGTGATAAAGTAAGCTGGATCATATTGTGATTACGATATCTTTAAATATGAAATATTGTGGCAAAATTAAGTAATTTTTTAATTGCTTTTATTTATAGCTCAAACAATGTATGGATAAGTGGGCGCGAAGGGGTGGGTGGGTTGGCATAGATGTGCCAGCTATTAGGGCTCGGGTGCTCACCAATTATGCCGTAAGTGTTGACATTTAATTTGTAAAATTAAGTAGTTTTATATTGTATTTGAAGTTATAAACACTATTTTGTTTTTATTTTTGCAGTATTGTATGCAAGGTGTCGTATGATTTTAAATATTGAATGTAAAAAACTTTTATAAAATAAAAATACATCAGAAAATTTATAAAAAAATGTTTGTATAGTGTTAGTGTAAATACTATAAATGTCTGCATAAGAGATTTGCTATTTATATTACTATGGCGTAAGTATTTCATGTAAACCACCATTATATTGTAATTTTTTATGTAAATAAACTATTAAATTATTGAATAAAAAATTATTATTTTAATTTAATCATAAAAATTGTTCATTTATGTTGTGGATCATATAATTATATAAATAATAATTATAAATTAATTTTAAATTAAAATTTTATAAATATTTCTAATTTAAACATATTTATCGATATTTTAGGTTCGGAATACTTTTAATAAATTTAATTAATTGTGCAAGGAAACTCATAAATTAATAGACATTAATGATCAAAGTTCTCGAGCACCTAGTTATTAAAATTGTACTAAACAGTCATGTTAGCTTTAATACATAATTAACTTCTCTATTGTTATTTAAAGAATACAATTAAATTATTTTTATATAGAAAACATTTTCATCACTACTTTATATAAATAGACAAAAGAGTTGACAATAACTTTCATTCATAACTGAATTCAATGTTTTCTAACATTAAAATGTCTAAAAAGATGTGCGGAATAGTCACTAGTGTTTCAATCATTTTTGGTGTTTTTGCATTTTTTAGTGTATTCAGCAGTATTTATGGCCAGGGTGATATATCCGATGAGACCAAAAATATGATGATGAGCATTATGGGCACAGTATGTGATACCAGTGCTCCACTATCGGCCGACAAACAGCAATTGCTCAGCGATTGTGAATCAGACGTACCCCGAGTG